GCTTGATAACAGAATAGTAATTTCTCTGTGACTTTATTTTGTTGCCACGGACATGATTGTAACATTGCATATACAGGGTGGACCAGAAAAGTTGCGACATCGTTCGATCAGGTAGTCACACTAATCAAAATAAGACAATTAATTTCTCATTATTTTTTAACTTCCATTTAGAGAAAAAAATCACTCTTATGCTTATTAACGGATGACCCTGTATATAATTACAGTGATGTACATAATATACACTGCAAAAAAAATCACTCAAATATACAGTATGTCGACGGATGGAGTTGACAAGAGGAGAGACTCTTTTGTTTTTGACTTTATCGAAAAATGTCACTCTCGTTCTGCCTCTCGAAAAAATGAGACCGTCATACCAACATCTTAGATTAGATATACAGGGTGCTCATAAATTAAAAAAACACGAAAATACTCAAGATAGAAGTACCATTATTTATTATTTTCAAATTCAAATATTCAAATATTGTCCGAATACAAATTTTAAAATCAAAATTTCAATTTGGACTTCTACTCTACATAGCTACCTCCCACCTCAACACATTTTTCCGCTAAATTTTTCGTACACTTTGCCAATAGATTAGCACTGCACGCCATACACCACGCCACGGGATGACCTAATGGGGACAATGGGAATAGACAAAGACAACGCACGACAACCATAGAATGGGGTGGGGTCACTCAATAATGAGGATATTTACCCCTTTACTATAAGTGCACCAGACTCTGGGCCTGTAGCGAAAACCTCATGGGATTACAAATAAACAAAAGACGCTCTCCAAACCACAGTAGTAGGTACCTATTCTCATGAGGTCTACACAAGCTTCAACTAGCCTCCAAATGAAGTACTCTGTGGAGATTTTATAAATAGTGTATAGGGAAAAAACGCCTACAAAAAGACAGTGACATAGATACTCGCAGTACCAAATATAAAATTTTGTTAAAAACTTCTCAGTTGAAAGTTACCAAATTCGATCTGTGGTCATACTCTTTGAAAGCGAGTGGCAGAAGAGAGACCCAGCGATGCAGACAATAAGGGATCCAGGTAATCGGTCTTCCCCATATTTGAAATCGGGAAAAAGTTTTTTTGCGACAATGATTTTTGTCCTGTGTTTTTAGAGAGAGAAAATATTCTTAGATAACTACGAGTCAATTTTCGACAAGATCCTATAACGCAAATAAATTGGAAAGGACGTGCACACGTATTAAGCCCTTTAGCATTAAACACTGCTTGACGGGGAACTAGTTCTTCATTATTATACTCCTGGTATGCAATATAACTTTTTCAGTATGAAAAAAAGTATGCTCGTTTCTTTTCTGTTTCTATTAATTATGTCATCAGTTTACTAATAATTACCGTAACCTTTTTGGGTTTTCTTTTGCATGTTTCCTAGACCTTTTATAGCTGACTAGATTGTCTAGCAGGTCTGTAATATTTATTTCATGTCCGGGTGCTTTCCCATTTTTTTCAACCTGAAAACACAAATAAAAGTCAAAATTTCTCTTAAATCATTCGTGACGTATCGCATTCAGTCGAATTTAACCGCAGTCAAATTCTTTCAATATATTGCGGGACCTGATAACGAAACCGTTTCGTCGTTCCGAACGGCAATTTCTCAATGCCTTTGTTTTATTCGCACGGGCGTATGACATGAATGTAAATTTTACATACGGGGATTGAATCCACCGCGCCGCCGTCTCATTCGGGGCCATGCAGATAATTTTAAGCGCCCCAATATTACGTTGACGTTGATCAAATAAAATGAATTTCCAGCGAACGCGGTTCGCGGCAGCTCTGCGATACGCATAAGAAATAACTACATATTTATAAAATTTCTGTAACCTGATAAATATGCAAGATGGTACAAGTGCAGATGTAGCCATATTGTAAAGAAATAGGCCAACCAGATATTTTTTGATAAATTATCTTCGTAAAGAAATGTTTTATTTTGGAAAAAGTACAGTCACTGACTGCGTTGACAAATTAATTGCTATTTGTACCATTAATTGAATATCTCAAAATATTAAATTTGCTGCTACTTTTTAACATACCCTCGTAAATACCTATTTTTTAGAATAACTAACAACTACTAAGTTAAAAGACACCAAATCAAATAACATACGATATAGTGAAAGGGAGACAGCCTATAATTTTCAATGGAACTGTCATCATTTGTTCATCACTCAGCAACTTGCCCTGTCATTTAGAAAATGACTTGGGAGTTTTATAGAACGATTGGTTTTTCTGTTTCGCTGCGAAATAAACAACCTCCTTTGATGCGGTTTACTGAATCAAAAGCTCAGATGAATACAAACGTCTAGGTTCCTTTTTACAATGCTGTGTTTTATTCCAAGTATTTATACTCTTTCTTCACCCTTCAGTTGTCATACATTTAATCTTAGGTGTAATGCATAAAAATGAGGGTATTTGTATAAATAACACCAAACTGACAATGTTTGGTGAATGATATAATGGTGCTACAAATTTTTTTCAAACGAAAAGAAAATTCAACTGTAAATTCTCTAGAATATTGATGGAGATATTTGGGTATACTACTGAACAAAAATGAAAAAATAAATAGTGTTCCATAAACTTTCCTAGAAGCCTTATTTTGTTTAATCTACTCCTTCCCAAACTGCTGTACCATTTCCGCTGTGGTGTTCCTGTATGTAGATAAGGAGGTGTCCTTGTTGTATAGACAAACAAAAACGAATACAAAAATGACATACTCTCACACATAAAGTGGGGCCATGTGAAAAGATAGGTGCCTGCTTTTATATATAAGCAGACTCCATATTAAGGTCAAACACGTTAAATTGCTACTGTGTTCATTTCATGAGTTCACGACTTGAAACATAATATTTTTCTAAGATTTGTCACTATGAAACAGAAAGCAAATGTTAGGAACATTTTTCTTTAATGGAGTCATCAGCTTTTGCATTTCAAGTGGTGCGAGGGAAACTAACTTCCTGAAAGACGACACACCGACGCCGTGTGCCAAAATTGTAAACAATGCTTTGGTAATATGGTGCTTGAATTTACCCTATTTTTCAGTGATTTCTAGTTGCTTTCAAAATTAAAGTTATCTATAAAACAATGTTTTTACTCTTCAACTGAGGACATTCAAATGATTACGACAGTTTCTGAATTCGATCTTGGAGCAACTGTTTTCAGCAATGTCTCAAGGATCTTACTTTTTATAGCTCATAATTAAAATAACGTTTTATATTTAATATCAGTCAATTTCTTTACTGGAATATACTCTGAATGTATTCTATGTCAAATACAAACATTTGCAATATGTTTATCTAACCTTAATTTCATCAACAGCATGCCTGAGTACCAACACATTCTTCATGGTAATACTAAGGCGTTTTACCACTGAACAAACACAATTAAATCAGATGATTTAGATTGCATGCAGAATAACAACAAAAACATACTCCCGATCTAAACAGATACCTACAGCGTGAACACAATCGGTCTTAGTTAAATCGTTAGAACTCTTTCAGAGCAGTCGCATTACACAATTTCGATATTGCCACAAACGTGTACAAAAGGAGAAACACAACGGAATTGAGTGTAATGTATGGATGAACACGACTATTAGTTTCTGTTTTGAATAAACTATGCAATCGGTTTATTATGCTGTACGAACTCATAACGCGACCTTGTTACACTTTGTTTCAATTCTTGTGGCCTAAATGGGTATGAGAAAGACTCTTCAATGTAAATATGCACATAAATCATTTGTGTTGTCCAGATTAGTTCTGTATGGTAGATTTAACATAAAGAATTTGATACACACACATTGTCTTTGTATGCGTCTATTTATTCTCGGTCTGTGGAGACGCAGATAGATTTTCTCATTCCAAACAGAGCACCATATATTTTATCACATTTTATACTTATATATACATCTATTTATTTTTTCGTCTCATATTTTGTTTTGAAACATTTTGCAGTGGATGTTTAGTCCAGCTTATCCTGTTTTGTACAAGTTGCTAACGAAAAACATTGCACATTTGAAAAACATGTTTGCCAGCTAACGACGGGTTCATTTAGCGCTAGAAACAGAATCATTTTCAAAATATATTTACTTTTAATCATTGAAAATAACATGCTGGGAAATAATAACTAGTAGCCTTCCGTAACAAATATTGATGACATTTTATGAGTCCAGTGTACGACTTTGTTTTGTTGACGCCGTTAATAAAGTTCGCTGAATTAAAAAAAGCATTTCGAAATTGATGGCAAACGCTACACAAATAATTTATCAATTTTTTAATTGACGTGGAAGGATATACGTGATTTAATAATTGAACTGACAGGAAAAAATAACATCCAGCGACATTGCAGTAGTGCAATTAAAAATTGAGCAATTTCGCAATAGTATTGTAAAGCACGTTAAGTGAACCAAAAACGCGCTGACATGAAATATTTTCGTTGTGGTTTATTTTAATAGTTTAATAGAATTCACGTCAGTTGACAGTACTGCCAAATAGTTCAGAGAAAATTATTCTAGTGCGATCAGTTTGTTGCTAATATGCGTTTATAAAAAAATTATCATTAAGCAGTATATCTCTTTTAATGTTGGTGTTCATTTACTGGGAGCATATTCTGCAGTCTATGCATGTATCTTCATTTTCGTTGCAATCAAATATCATAAACCCATAATTATGATTATTCTTATAAAGGTATTAATTTTGTTCTTCACTTAATATAGTTGTACACTTATGTTTCTATGCATCATTCAAGAAAAATGTTTTATAGTCATTTGAGAATTAATGTCTCTATGAAATTATACATTTCCAAAGATGAAAAATCGCAGCAAAGATACAATGTATCAAAAACTAGGTAAATAATGTTCAAACTCTTTCAATCTGCAGTTCGATGATAGCTATGCTGCTTTTTATAGCCAAATTTAATACCTTATAGCCCCTTTAGTACCCAATAATGTTAATAGCATTCCATTTTTTTACAGGGTACACATTTCGGAAGTGAAGTATCATCTATAAATCTAAGCGCTTATCAGGTATGTAATATGCTTTGCCTTTAGATAAATATTCATTTTGCAAGTGTTCCAAATTTTTTATATCAGAAATGAAACTGTAGCAATCAGTATTATTAAATTTTAAGAAACTTGAGAATAGGTATCGAAGATAAAGTGAGAGCGGTATATATATTTTTTACACATTAAAATTAACGTTTCTTGTTGTAATGTGTAAATATAATTTTATAACATTAGTGTAAAAAGTCATTTACTTTTGACACTTTTTTCTGTCACAAAGTTTGAGTCAGGTATATTTTCTTCTCAAATCTATATCCTCAATATTATCCAATTTCATATTGGTTTTTCTCTGAATACCCATAACTAGCATGAGAAAAATAGAAGCTGGTGCTAACTAAATATATTACCTGATTAAATGACATGCTCCTACTTTCACGTAAAAATTACTAAAAGTTGATGATGTTCACTTATATCTTGATCATTTCATAGGTTTAACCGCAATTTGATCAATGAATAATATCACATGGATGGTCATCTTTAACTTTTCCTCCAGTAATGTTGTGGGTTTCTTTCGCTGTACAGCAAGAATAAAACGCTCTCTCAACGGTAATAATAAATAATTTTATTGAAAACTAAATTTGTGGGAAAAGACGTGTTGACGGTTTGAGGGTTTGCTGGAGAGTGTCTTCTGTGTGGAGACGGTCGTAGGTATATTGGTAGTTGCTGGTAGAAGTCCCTGCTCCTTGGCGCCACTCTGCAGGGGTCGTCTTCCGGGAACCCCGTGGTGCATCCGGCGGCGTTCTTGACGTTGTGCTTAAAAATGGGTCACTTGCGAACATGTGTACCCACAATGTCTTTTCTTTTCTCTCCTGTGGATTAGATCTATTATTATGCTTTCCACTCCACATTATTTGTTGAACAGGTTTGTTTTTGTTCAAAGTCCAAAATTATATGTCAGTTACTATTTTCTTTATTCCATAATTGAGTTTCGGAAGTTTCATATTTAGATAATTCCATAAATATTTTGCTCAGTAGTTCGATTGCTCTTAACTCTCTCGTTGCAAATAGAGCTAGTAGTTGCTCCATCAGTTTTCAAAATTCTTCAGGATCATCAAAATATCTGTTGCCAATTTTCCTAACAATAATTAATCTAGTATTAACATATTAACGTCTAGTTTGTATATCTCAAGCCATAAACTTTGTCTGCTTCTTCTTCTCAGAGAGCAAAATACATTGATGTCATAAATAACCTTTGCCAATAAAATCTGAACGACGTGTCACTGATTTTAGATACAGTGACACTTTTAGGACATTCCAAGCAATTTGCGCAAAAAAACAAAACGATAAATTTGTTGTCTTATTAACTTCAGGACACCTAATTTCTATGGTCTATTAATCACTATTAATCAATTCGCAAAATTCAATAATCTCGAAGCAGTCAGTACCACTTAATACCAATTTGTTATCGGGTGGAGTTATATTTCCGACAGATCTCGCACAATATACTTTAATTTGTTTCATTTTTTATACCGCTGTGGATATTTCCTGGATAACTGCTCGAAAGAGTTTCACGCTCAGTAATTTTTTCATTTCGATGCGTCTTGGTTCGATATTAGAAGTGACAAACGAAGTTCCACCACTCGGTTGCCTTTTAGATGCCATTGACATTCGCACTTAGATAATTACGGCGAGATACTGTCGAAATTACCTCCGCGCTATTTACTGAATGCTGTTGCTTCTTTACAGTAGCTCCTTAATTAAAATTAATGTTCTCGTAGTTGACAGACCTTAACGAGTCTGAACTATAACATAAAATCACGCAATTTTCTCGACTCAGTCGCGAGTGAGTCATGAATGGTCAATTAATTTTATTGCAGTGTTTCTCAACTCTTAAATTTGGGCATTATTGCAAGGTTATTTCCCGTAGAAATTGGATTTAGTATGTATATTAGTTAAATTTAGTCAACTTTGAGTTACGTTAATAATGAGTTAATGAGTTTTAGTTGCTTTGTTTGAATTAAATGCTCGTAAAACCCTTCAACTGAAATTTTACTTAAGAACGTTTTCATTTCTATTTAAATTCTGATAGTGTACCATGGATATAAAGTCATATCACAGATGGTAGACGTCCGTTATTGGTTATTTGAGTCTCTTACTACCAATTTAAGCGAAACTATGTTGGGAATATCATCAACGTGAATAACATTGTATTGTAATACAGTGTTACTTTTCTCTAGTTTGAATATACATATACTGAAGAAAATAATACACTAGGCACATAAATTAAGAGATATTTTAAAAAATCCCAAAATTTTAGGTGATTTTCAAACAGCTGTAACTTGGAGGGAAATGGTCGTAGAGAGAATAAACAAAAGTGCCTAGTTTTCAGATCTGCAGTTTAAAATATTTTTTAGTGTCAGCAGTTTTTCAGTAATCATAAGAAAATCAACGGAAATTTGTTTTTTCATCCATTAATACCAGAACTCAGTTGATAATCATTCCCATCATTGACTGCCGAAAGGTACATCACCGATATCCTTGAACCACATGTCCTGACTATCATTCTCATGCAGGATAATGTTGCTTGAAGTCCATAGGTTTTTTTTTTAAAAAAAAGCAAAAATCTACAAATTTTTTTTCGGTTGATTTTCTTATGATTACTCAAAAACTACTCACGCTAAAAAATTTTAAACTACATATCTGAAAACTAGACACTTGAAGCTTAAATTTCATTTTTTTTTATTCCCTCTACGAACATTTCCCTCCAAGTTAAAGCTCCTTGAAAATCACCCAAAATTTTGTGATTTTTTTAATATCCCTTAATTTCTGTGCCTAGTGTAGTATAGAGTGGCGTGTCAAGGAAAATCGAAAGAATCGACTATTCATTACAATTACAATACAAAATATGAAAAATGCATGCAAATATAGGTATTGACAGATGGTAGACACTACGTCTATTACTGATTCCTTGAAGAAATGCCTATCAATTTGTATAAACTATCCTTCGAGTGTCGCTGATAAGAAAAACATTTGTATGATATTGTGTAGTCCTTGGATATCTTCTAAATAAGTTGAAAGAGTACTAGATAGCGACAAGTTAAGGAATATTTTAAGGAATTAACCATTATTTCTTCATTTCAGTTTATCGGGAACTGCAATGAAAAGAAAAAAGAATTATATTCGACGCAGCTTTTTTTAATTTATTGATAACGGTGCTACTAATACAAATAATAAAAGAAATACAAACAAATAATTGGAAACAATTAATTGTAAATAAAACAAGCAATTGTTTGTATCCAATTATGGGTTCATGACTAACAATTACGTGCGACTTTTCTTTGAAGGAAAGAACAAACAAGACGTGACAGTGCAGAAAATGTTTGCTATACAGAGTGTTACAGAATAACTATTCCTACACTACAACTGTTTTCGTAGTTGTCATTGTACGTGTCACAAATTAGTCATTGTTAGATAAATTAGTGTTTGATTGATAATGCATCATTTAACAAAATAAATATTGATCTACTGGCATGCATCTTGCCTACGGAGCAGCTTACGGCAATGCTAACGAAGCAAGGCGAATTTATGCGGAGCAGCATCCTCAGCGTCCCTGTCATATATCATTTTCAAGCTTCGATCAGCGTATTCAAGATACTGGTGAAAATAGATTCGGGAGCCAATCGTATTGTCCGAAATGTTGACTTTGAGGACCAAGTTTTACAACAATTTGAAAATAACCCGAAAACAAGCAGTCGTGTCATTGCCCTTGCTATGCACATAAGCCAAACATCTGTATGGAGGCTATTAAAGGAATACTAGAAGCATCCGTTTCACATTCAAAAAGTGCAATCGTTAATTCCAGCTGATTATCCCAATAAAGATCAATTTGCCGAATGGTATTTGAATAAAATTAACGACGAACTAAGACTTTCTAGAAGTGTATTATGGACAAACGAGGCATATTTTATAAGAGATAGCTGTTTTAATATAATAGTCACATTTGGGGCGAAGAAAATCCTTACGCCGTTCACAGGTTACATCATCAATAGAAGTTTTCTGTTAATATCTGGGCTGGGATTGTTGACAATTATGTGGTGGGACCATATTTACTGCCTGCACGGTTACATGGTCATGTGTACAGGATTTTTCTGGAACATCTCTACCAGAATTGCTTGAAAATGTCCCACTTAATATTTAATGAAATATTGTTTTCCAGCGTGATCGATCACATATCGGTACAACTTGTGTTTCGAAAATAGTGGTCGTATCTTCACACAATTTTTATAAAGTTTGATGCAGTATTCTTTCTTAATAAAATGTTCCTACTTCAATTTAGTAAGTTACTACACTGTAAAAAGATCGGTGTGAGTGAAAGCAATAAAGGTACGGAATTAATCCATTGAGTGAAATTATTGAGTATATTTTCAGTCAATATTGGGCATTTTGATCATTTTACTTAATGTGATTTTTGTGAACATTAATTGTTGACATTTACACGTAGACTTCGCGTAGACTATGTAAACAGTGTAAAGAATATTGAACAGCTATTCTATTGAGCGGACGAAAAATTAATTCCAATTGTGGCCTTCTATGATTCGAATTAGTAAAATTCGTTAGAAAATATGTCGCAAAATGTTTAATATGTGAAAATACCCCAAAAAGACAAAAAACCTTAATATTCTGGAAAATGGTAAACCTATACATCCTAATATGTCGACATTGGCGATTAGACTTTTACAAATACGTGCGTCGTTTGCGCAAATTGAAGGTTTTTTTTTCAAACGAGTAATATTCATACAACTGCTAGAAATCAACTAACTTTTGAACGCTCCAGAAAATTAATTCATATGTACTATTCACCTAAAATAAAAGAACTTCAGGCCTCTAAATTTGTTGATTATATAAATGAAGGGTAGTGATAAATGATAGATATAAAAATGAAAAAAATTTAAAATATTTTTACAAAATTGTTAATTTTCTGTTATTCTGACAGTCATCAGCAACTTATAATGTTAATTTTTATT